GGGATGGAGGGGTCTTTTGGAGGGCTGCAATTGGGCAGCATTGAGTCATAAGGGAAAAGATAAAAGATAAGGGACCTCCGATGTAACAAAGTGACAAGCATCAACTAAGGTATCCAAGTCGAAGAACTTGACTCATACTTCTTTCTATTCATGTTCCGATATTACTGGTCTGGAATAAAAGACCAGACAGAAGAGGATATTGGCCACGGGGAGCTATCTTTGAGTACCACTCTCCATTGCCGTGCTTTGACAGCCCCTATGATAACAGGGTCGGGCGACAAGCACGATCGTTACAACTAGAGCTTGAGCATGTATCTCTGTATAGGAACAAAGAGTTCAAGAATATAATCGCAAGCGACATCGGGTATTGAGATCTATCATATATTTTCCACGAGAACAGGGTCAGTTGTCCTGTTCTTCCACGTGCAGTTGTTGCGAACATTCAGTTTCTGGAAATTAACGCATGGCCTTGCTTGATGTAAAATTTTATGAACTTGAGAAGTTCCTAATGTCAGTTGATGGGGTCTTTCATCATGAGAGAACCATATCGTCGATATAGCTTGAGCAAGTCGGCTACCCTGTAGCAACACCGGATCGTCGATTGGCCATTAAGGCTTATGATCGGATCGTCGCTGCTGGATGCTCGGTAATTCGATAAGTTATTCGAGAAGCTTAAGTTTATTCAAATTCGTCCCATATAAGGAGTTTGTGCTTTAAGTATGTTGGGGATCGGACTCTAAAACAGCACGATTTATCAAAGGCACATATGAGTGAAACCAAGCAAGACCAGGAAGAAACTACTGTCTTCGATGCTGGAATAGCAGCATGACTACCTACCCATGGAAAACAGTATATACAGATTTGGTCTATCTAATGTTTGGATGGCTGTCTGGATGATATATGGGTAAAATCTCCAGATGCAATATGGACGACTTGGAGACTGGATCTACCATATGTTCTAGTCTATGCCTCGTACCGGTGAAATGCAATATCATGGTCGGAAAGTGGGTGTTGATCCGGGGAGGATCGTGATGATAACCATGCAAATTCCACTGCTTCATTCTAGTAGGGATTGAGATTTCGAATATGTCCAACGTCCAGCGGTCGAAGGGAACTTTCTCTTGGAAATTTGCAATTTTTTTCAGAATTGTAGACATATTGAAGAGATAAGAGAATATTCATGTGAGAAACGAGTTATCGGACTGAATTCAAGTGATATTCGTCATCAAGTAGTAGTCTTGCACACTACCTATGGCTCAACTGTGAGAGGCTCAAAGTATCACAGCGTTAAATCACTATCACACCTGCTGCGGGGAAAGTTGCAACGGTTCGATGGCGCAAGGCGGAGTTTGAGTTTCTGCTCAATATTCTCCGCGAGACAAGGAGCTGATGGTGGTTGTCATCATACCAAGAGACGATGGGTAGATCTGACGAGAGTGGGGGTTCAACTATAGGAATCATGAGGAGAAAACTGAGCGGGCGCTTTTACGTATTTAATTACAAGGGACGTGGTAGCAACCAAGGATTTCCGACATCCGAAGTCCCCGTTCACAGACGTGGGATGCTCACACCCAGCTCAGCGAACCAAGGCCCATCGCCATCGTCAAGGCCAATGTCGTGATATGGCTGACAGCGGTTACAAGGGTTACTTAACCCACATAGCGCAAGCTTGACCGCAAACTAGGCTCTAACAGGACGCCTAAATCAATCTCCCCGAAGATTTACTGTGGCGTCAATCCACCTGCTGTCGCTGTAGAGCAGCCCAGCCTCTGATAGCAAAGGGCCCTCGCACGCCATCGGCTGCTCGCCAGCTCGCCATGAGCAGGGCAGGGGAACTACCTGCAGAAGGGAAATCTACAGCGACGACCATGGAAGACCTCAACTTGGTTCTTGGACACAAGACCTCACGGAGTCTTGCTGATAGTGAGAGTCTAGCCAGCGCCAACCGAAGCAGCAGCAGCAGCATGGGCTGTCGAGTCTGTCGCGCGAGAAAGGTAAGTGCCGTTATTTTTTTTCAGTGTCTGTCTGATAAGAGATTCATTCAACTCACATGCGATAAACCGCAGGTCAAATGCGACGGTCGGCCCAACGGCTGTCGCAATTGTGAACGTCTCCAACTCGAGTGTGTTGACGATGACGGTTCAAAGTCTGGCAGTCGGCGTGGATCAGTTCCTGTGTCCCTGAGGAAGATCAGGACTTACCGGTCATGTACCAGCTGTCGCGTATCAAAGACTAAATGCGACGGCGACCGCCCGAGATGTTCACGATGTAGCGCCCGTAATCTCGAATGCCAGTATGACGGAGGCTCGGCTCCTCGCTGGGCACGCAACCTCAGCAAGGCACCAACTTCGGGCTCGACTGAGGAAGATCTAGAGTCTTCTCTGGATGCTTCCTCAATTGCTGGGGAGAGTCTGAGGTCACACAGTCTCATCCAGTCACGGGAGAACGATGTCGCAACGTCTCATCGATCAAGCACCAGAGATACCAGCAGCATTAATCCACCCATAGACTTTTCCGATGATACCGAGTTATCTATTCATTCATGGTGAGTTGGTGCTTCATTCCCGAAGATCCGGGTCAATTTATCTGACCTATCTCCCCTAGGCTCATATCACCAGATCTCCCATCTGGAAACAATATTCGTACCGTAGTCGACCACTATTTTGCCAACATTCATCCTCTGCGATGCTTTGCTTTTGTACATAGACCATCATTTGCTCGTCTGTTAGATAAGGGCTTTGAGTCCGATGACGAGAAGGCACTGCTGCACATTATTTGCGCACAAGGAGCCAAGTATGTCCCTCAATCTGAACTATGTGAACATCGCACTAATTATCCAGATTCTATGCTTTGTCCATCAATTTGGAGGATCAAGATGCCAAAGCGAGTTTGATCCGAGCTGCGGGCAACAGCTGGGCACAAAAGGCTGAAATGCTGGTGCTCACCAACTTTGGCAAGATTTCAGTCCAAAGACTCATGGTAATTCTCCCGCAATGTTCAGGCTCGCAGATGACTGACACAGTTGCTCAGACATGCATATTACTTTACGACTTCCATTTCAGACTAGGCGAATACACCCAAGCTCTGATGCTGAGTGGTCTCGCAGTCCGAATGGCTCACGCACTACAGCTCAACGTTGAATTCTCACCCGACATTCTCTGCGCAGAGGCCAACGAGTCCTCCCCTCCAGCCGTTGAGAAGGAGAGTCGTCGTAGACTCATGTGGGCCTGCTACATCCTAGATGCCTGGACGGGTAGTGGTGTCGATCAATTAACACTACTGCGTGAAGCCGATATTAAAATCCAGTTGCCATGTAACGAACGTAACTTCAGACTCCGGATCCCTTGTGTAACTGAGACGCTCGGTGTTGGCCACGTTCTGCAATTCCTCCCTCCTGCGATTGTTCCACGAAGGCCGGCTGCCAACATGGGCATCATGGCTTACTACATCCGAATTGTCACCTTATGGAAACGGGTAGTCAGGTTCGTTTGGACCCTGGAATGCTCTTTGAACGGACACCGGCATCTAACTGAATACAGATATGTAAAGCATCTGAATACGAGCCCGCCTCCGTGGCTTCCAGAGTCCGACTTTGCAGCTCTTGATGCAGATTTGCGATCATGGGGACGACATCTTCCCGAGTTCATCTCATACTCCACTGACACCATTTACGCACGCCTCGAATCCGATCAGCTCGGGTCACTTGTCTTACTCCATTGCACATATCACCACAATCTACTAGATCTTTACAGAATATCTATGCCTGATCTTTTCAAGTTGATCAAGCCTTTCTACTTCCCACCTAACCAGCAAGAGTTCCTGCAATCGTTACAAGCCGATTGCTTTTACCATGCGAAGCAGATCTCCACTATCTTAGCTGAGGCGGTACAACATGGTGCAAGATATCTTGCCGATAGTCTCCTCCCCTGCTTCGCTTATGATAGTAGCCGTGTGATGTTGTACTACATTGCAAGGCTCCTTGACTTGAGTAGACCTGATGCAGAAACGATTGTTGTGGACGCAATCAATGCCGTGGAAAGTAACAGCAAGATCCTACGGACAATGGCAGCTCTGTTCCCACTCGCCGATTCTCTAGTATGTGAAATTTGAGTATAGTGTTTGTCTTGTATTTTGCTGACTTCAGTGATAGGCAACGACGACTGAAAGATGGCTGGCCAAGATTCGCAAGACTTTTGCCCAGGATGAACATATGAGCGACCGTCCTTTCCATGGCGACGAGGAAAGGTGCGTATTACGGACCCCTCAATGCCGTTCCATATTAACAAGTATCTTCTAGGTCACCGATTCTGACTGGGAGTCCCGTCACCAGCAGTCCTGACGAGGCCATGGGAGCTCTTGGCCTGGCACGTCTTGCGCAAGGTCAAAGCAGTGATATGAAGCCGATAGACCGTGATGCTTGGAACAAGGTGGAAAGCGGCAGTCCAACTGCGAGCAAAAAAGGAGCTGGATCTGTGTCTGGGGCGAGCAGTCAACCCGAAGTAACGCCCGCACGATCCAAACTACAGCACGAGCAGCCAGTATCTCAACGGACACCCCCAGGAGCTACGACTTCACACATGGACCACCAAGCAGTAGATCTCAGCGATTTGCAAAACTACCTCTCGTGGGATATGTATGGAATTATGGAGATGAACGACAATGGCTTGAAGGCTGGCATAGAAGACAATGGCATGCCATCCTGGAGTACGATGTGATCACAGAGCATCTAAGCCAAAGACGCTATGATAGCACCAGGGAACCAGATTTCGATGGTCATTTCAATGATCCGGATGTCTTTTTCATCGATTTACAATGGAAGAGAGATGGCGACACGAGAGACTCCGGGCCATCGGTTTCGGAACATCGCCCAATGATTGCAATGACACAAAGTGTAATGAGGATCACGCAATGCAGCGACAACGAAACGAGCCCGACGATATGGCAACGGAACATCACGTATTGTCTTTGGCCTCAACAACTACTCCAGGAATTTCAAATGCGCAGAGCGTCTTGAAAAGAGTCGATGACTCTAAAGAGCACTTTTTGCGGTCCCCGATGGACACCACTGTATGCTCTTCGCTGCCTTAATAACTATGGGATCTCCAGCAGCTGATTGGAACTTCTTGGACATGTCTGTTTAATTTTTCTACAAGGTATTGGGGGATTTTCTTGTTGGTGTTTGTGCTGCCTGTTCATTGTCAATATGGGAAACTTGACATCGGAGCATTGGAGCATTGGGCACAGGATGGGTCCTTTAATAGATTTTCGATACCCGGTAGATATCAAGGTTTGTTGTTCTCAGGTCTTGCTAAGATCGACAAAGAAATGTGGACAGGATCCAGTGAAGGCATCGCGTCTTTCCCTGGGCGAGCTGAACTTCCCGCTTACGGTACAAATCCGGAGCGAGCGACAGTGAAATGCAAGGATTAAATCGATCGACCACGATCTGGACGCACTCCGCTCAAGATGTGGACTCGTGAGAATGACGCAGAAGCACTTTAGCAAACTGACAGACTAGCCTGTTTCACCAGATGGCGCGAAGAGCTAACTTAACGAACAGCTGCTGCATCGTGGGTAATGGTAAGAGTTTTTATGAAGGGAGGAATAGGCGACTGAATGATACGGACGGTTTGATTACAAGAGACACCTCGAGCGTTGGCTCAGAGCACGCACCAGGTGATACGTCAAGAGCTGTGAGGGGGAGTGAGTGGGAAGAAGCAATGGCAGATGTCATGGGGAGCTTGGGCCTCACGATAAATGATAGGTAAACAAACAACCTAATCAATTAAACCTCGGAGATCGATTGGGGCAAGGTTCATGGGGCCTCGGCGATGTGTGAGATGTGCTGCAGACTGCAGACGATGGGTAGCTATGGCAATGCCAGGGAACCCGCTGTTATGCTTCTTTGTTTACATGCGGAGTGAGTGGTAGTTAATGGTGAGAAATACTAAGGTAACGTTGGAAAGGATTCGAGGTACATAAGCTTGTTACAAACATCGACTATAATAGCTGCAGCTGCAGGTGCTCTTCGCCAATCGTAGGCTGAGTTTTGAAACGATTGTTTACGAAAACCATGATTTTTACAAGACCAATGGACGGTAACAATAGGTAACCCGGGTAGCTGCTGTATGTGAACATTGAGTTTTTTTTTCGTTTTTCTTACCCCGTTGCTACCATCCAATGGCAAGAAAACTCTGCTTGCGGCTCAGCGCTTTCTTACTTTTCTTGTGACACGAACATCCATGGCCGTCTCGTCTTGTTTTTTTCTGCTGCTTGCGGAGTCTTGATTCGCTTATCCTGTGAACTAGATATCGCTTCTGCACATGCATGTCAACTCAACTGAACTACTGTATGCAAGGAGTTGGAGTAAGACGCCGAACACACTTGCGTAAGGATGATACACATACATAAGGACCACTGCGGGTTCATGCTTGTCTTGTTAAGACCTTATGTTTGTGCGATATTGGACCCATGGGGTAAAACCAAGGAACCAACTTTACCTGTGCCCAGGACGGAAGCTTAGGTTATTACTCCTCAAGGCTTAGTGATAAAGTGGCCGCTAGACCGCTGGTTCAAATGTTTAAGCGAGAATAGGTACATATGTTTGCACGTAACACTTTAATCATTCGATCTCATCTCAAGGCGGAACAGTGGGACACCGTCCTCAATTAAATCCCATCTTTTTTCCTGGTTCTCGCATCGTGGACGGGCCAAAAG